GGCCTGATCCAATCACTCCCACTTCTTATGCCAAACATTTGCTATTTGAATGAGGCAAACGATGATTTATCGTCACATGACTTTCCATTTTTAAGAAGTTGGTTAGAAAAAATTCGTGATGTGGTCTCACCGGAAACCGAAATAGGATTGTCGCGTTGTATTGCGCGTTGTATTGTTAAACTTTCGTCTGTACTGTGACAGGCATCATCAGAGCAAGATTCCATACTTTACGAAATAGAGCTAAAATATACTAAACCAACAGAAAAAGTGGCTGGCTGCAACCCTAGTCGCTTTTTTATACACCAAACCTTGCGATATTAATGGGGCATTCCATAATTTGGTTGGCTACTTCAGCCTTACTTTGCAGGCTTGCAAAAGAATGAAGTTACTCCACGGTACAGACGACAACTTAACACAGTTTCATCGGGTTCGAAGGGCCATAAGCCGAGGACTTCTTCGCAGCCGTCTTTTGAAGCAGTCTTCCTTACGTACCAATCCTTTTTCCGTTTCAGGCGAGACCACATAATTAATTCCTTCCAATAAACTTTGCCTTCAAAGACCTTCTTCATAACCGTCGATTAGCTTGGCTATTTTATGCCTAATATACATTCTTGTAGATGCATGCAAAGAAAGTGGATGTAGTGGCAATTGTTTACTTGTTTGGAAAATCAAACGTATGCTTCTGCAAGACTTTATGTGAATAAATAGTAGAAATGATGTGAAGCATGAGACCTAATCAGGCTTAGGCTATTCGGGTCTCCTTTCACTCAGCAGTTCTTTATATCTCTCATCAAGTTTATCCAACTGCTCAATTTCATACATTCTTTCTTCCTATTCAGGATGTTGGCTGTTCTATTTATTTCTATAGACTCCATATTCTTACGATTGTATGCGAAATCCCGTAGCCCGCAAAGCGCTGGGATTTCGACCATTCAATTTCGTGTCCTGTATTAAACATGTGCTCAGCAAACTCAGATTTTTGGACCCATACACCTTTACAAGCAGTTTTAGGTTGACATAATCTTTGCTAGATGAGTCGGTAGGTCTTCCCCATAAAAAAATTACAACATGATCACAAAACCTTTTAGCAGCCTGACTTAGAAAGAGGGTCCAAACATTCTGGAAAGGAAGGCACGACCGAAGAAAGTGTTAATTTTTCTTTATACATTATTGTGATGTTCCCCTTCCTTAGTAGATGCGTTTTTTCGTAATGTATGGTTTCTCGCTCTGAAGAGGTCAGTCAAATGGTAAACGGAGGCTTGGCACAAGATCATTGGAGTGGCAGGACGGAGAGCCGAGGACTTCTTCGCCCAATCCAAATGTCTTCGCACCGCGGAAATCCTCATTCAGTTTCTGGTGGGACCATTTCACAAATTCCTTTAACCAACTTTTCCTTTTAAATGGAACTCCATCTCATGTTATTCAAGATTTGATTGGCCGAATTTGACTTTAAACCCGAGCAGCCACGACTTTACTTCTGCCGAGAATGCTGAAGCGCCGATGAAGTGGGATCAAACCTGGACTCCGGCAAGAGTTTTGGCCGGAATCAGGGTTTTGCAAGGCTTCGTTTATGAGAAGAGCATAGAGGGGAATGCAAATGAATCTGTAAGACAGAGACACTGGAATAGGCATTCATTCTGCCATTCGATATGGACCGGGAACCTTTGGTCTTGAAGACCAGTAGTCTGGTATCGGACGATTTCTATAAAGCTGCAGTTGCGGAAAAAGCGAGGAAAGGAGAGCAAAGAACTGGAAGGGAATCTGGGCGAAAAAGAAGGAGGAAGCCACTCGGCGATCTGGTCACCAGCATCGTTGTTGCGGGGATACGCGATTTACGAGGTGCTGATGTTGCTGTTGTCGGATGGTACTCCTATTTTCAGGCTTGACGCCTCAGTCATGGTAGAGCAATTGTAACCTGTTGCACGAGGTTCGAGCACTCCCGATTTCCGGTCAACTCGGAAGCCGTCTGCGGTAATTTATTCATTAGTAAAGCGGTAATTTGTTGTGCACGTGTCCACATTTGTACTTAATTGTACCGACTTGTGTGCAACTTTTGCATGCTTGTACGCCTCTAGGCTGCCTCATTCTGCAGACGTGGCCTAATAAATTCCAAAAGATCTTGGCTTACAAATCGATCGCTCCTGAAGGTGGTGTATCCAAGCCGTGGCCGCCTACCTCTCCGCTTGTACACTCACTCACGCCTGCCGTCCACCGTTACTACGGCACGACAAATATGCATAGAAACGTGTAGTTGATGTGTTGTCTCAAAAAATCTGCTTAGAGCTCCTCTGTCTTCCTATACCTCTTTGACCTCCTCTTCATTCTTCTCGTACCCACCCACCTGTCCTCCTCCTCCTCCTCCTCCACCACCATCCTCTTCGTTGGGAAAATTACGGTGCGATACAAAGTTCTGGGCTCGAAACCCACTTAACGTTGACATGGCCCTGCTTAAAGTCCTCGACCCCTTCATTGCTTGGCCTCACCCAGTGGCCGAAAGTCCTGTTTTCTAGTAGCCTTTAAGGTCTCCACCAGCGACTGACAGGTGTCATAAAATTCACTCCCATTTCAGGTGAAAATGTATCTGTCTGATGAGGAGATTCGAAAATCTATCCCACCAAAAGACGATGGCGGATTCTTCTTGACCTGTCGTCGAATGGCTTGGCTGGAACCTTCTTATTGAGGTCCCTTCAAATCGGCTGAAGGACATTATCAGAGCAGGGCATCATTCTTACAACTCTATTCGAGCTGACGAACCAAGAAAGTCTTGGGGGCAGCGTCAGCCAGGATATTCCAGTAAAGCTATCAGACAACTGGCGAAAAAGAATTCGGTATCCCCTTCTGGTTGGATCGACATTCGAATCTCTTCCTCACACACTCACCCTCGAGATGGGAGTGAGCACTACAATTGTAAACCAAGAGACTCTTCGAAATCCAACTTTCTTCGCATATACCAGCAATAGTAGAACAATACGCTCACATGACATACAAAGACGATTGTTATGCTATATTATATATACTGGTGATGAACTTAGCTCATAACCTCCGACATTACTTCAAATCACTGGAGGTGGCTGTAGTGACTCTTGTAACCAGGTCCCAAACAGAGCAACAAACTGCAAGAGGAGCCTATAGTGTCTCTTCTTCTCATACTCCATTTTGCCTCTCACCAACACACTCTCCATATGATTCCAAGATTGGTAATTGCATAATTGGAGGAACGGAGGTAAAAAGTTGAGTAAGAATTACTTATGCTTGATTGATA